GCCACCAATGCCCGGCTTGCAAACACTTTTTTAAGACAGTTAATTCCCATAGCTTATTTGAGTGTAGCAGATTGGAACCTACACATAGGAATGCTGGTAAAATGCAACAAAAATAACTTACAAATGAATAGTTGAATGCAAAGGATGTGGGAAATGGTTTAGAATAAAGAGAGGTGGGGCTGGGAAGATGACTCATCAGTTAAGAGCACTTGCAGCTCTTTCAGAGGGCTGGAGTTTGGTGTCCAGCATCCCTGAGGTAGCTCTGTCACCCTCTTCTGGCCTCCATAGGCACTGCACTCACATGCACACAAACACAGCACACATAATTTAAAATAATGTTTTTTAAAAGAATAACATAAGCTGGGTATGGTGAATGGTGCATACCTTTAACCACAGCACTTGGGAGGCAGAGGCAGGTGGATCTCTGAGTTCAAAGCCAGCCTGGTCTCCAGAACAAGCTCCAGGACAGACAGGGTTACACAAAGAACCCCCCACCCCCCCACACACAAATCAAAATACACTTCAGGAAATTCTCAAAGAATTGATAACAATATTTTAAATAAAAAGGACAAAGAGTTAACACAAAACCAACAATGGGCTCGCTCTGGTTGACCCTTGGGTCATTCGATGGTCAGGCTGAATGGTCACTGTTCATTGTCTTTGTCTCTGTCTTTGGGCAGATGAAGCTGACCCAGCTCATGGGGGTGAGGGCTGAACCCCTTCTCTGTGAAAGCCCAAAAGTTGGACATAAAACTCTGAGCTCTCTGAGATGTGGGTTTCAGGGATCCAGATGTCTTGAAGGGGACCCTTGAAGGTCTATGCCTGTCATGAAAGCAAGAGAACTCAAGGCCAGACTTTTCCCAGCTGGGGGAAGTAACATGGAGGCCTGAGACTTAAGTTTCTCTAAGGTCTTTCCATTTTATCCTTACTTGAAAATTTAGTAGAGAAGAAAGGGAAGAGTAAAGAAGAAAACAAAACAATACAAAAAACTGGATCAACTCAACAGAAAATAGTAAAGAAAATGATGTTGAAGAATGCAAATATAAGATACAAGATAAGTAATTTTCAATAACAAAAATGCATATTAATATTCTAATACTGAACTTATCAGCTAAGGACAGAAATCTCATTTTTTTGCAGATGTGGTCTTGTTATGTTGCCCACACATTCCTTAAACTTCTGTGCTCAAGGGATCTTCCTCACTCAGCTTTCATAGTAGCTGAGGCTGCAGGCATGTGCCATTGAGCTCACTGAGATTCATAGAGTTTTTAAAAATTTAGCTATATACTACTTCTAGGAGATACACCTAAGACATGATAATTCAGACAGGCCATTATATAAACAAGTAAACAAAACACATTAGAGAAAACAATTTTAATTAAACATGTAACAATGTTATCATCAAGTTTTCATATCTGTAGGAAAAATATAGTGGATAAGAGATGTTATTGCATGGTGGCAAAAAGATTGAATGAATAATTCACCATGAAAGAATGTCATTTAGAGCCTCAGCATGCCTATGTATCAGGGCAGTGCATGTGTGTGGTTTCAACAATCACAAAGAGAAAACAACAAATTTATAAGTGCACTGTAGATGTAAATAGCAATCTTATACTCCTAAGTCCCAGGGAACACATTCTCTCTAGCCCACAGGCAACCGGTATAGAAGCAAGTTTCAAGCAAATACCAATGACTGAAAATCGCCTCAGACATGTTTTCTCGCAGTTCAGTGAACTCAGGAATCAACATAATCATCACATTATTGCCATTCACTTCAAAACACCTAAGTACTAATGAAGAAAATTAATGCAAATTAGCAAATTTTAGTATAGCTCAGACAATAAATACACTAGTACCAAGATATATAGAGCTTTAAAGAAAATAATAGAAAGAAAAGAAAGAAAGCATGTATCCTAAACATTGAAAAATAATTTGACTTAGAGGAATAATTCAGTAATAAAGTGCATACCTAGTATATACATAACTCTGGATTCAATCCCTAGCACAGAGAAATAAATATGTAGGTGATAGATAGTAGATAGAAGATAGATTGGTAGATAGATGATAGATAGATAGACAGACAGACAGACAGACAGACAGACAGACAGACAGGTAGGTAGATAGATAGAGATAGATAGATAGATAGATAGATAGATAGATGGATAGATAGGCTAACACTGACCAGAGAAACAAAAGGAAAGAATAAATAACAAAGGAAAAAGATGAAAGGGGGAAAAGATAAGGCTTCCACAGCTGTAACAGACAACTGTTTTAAAAGGTTAATAAATAGATAAACACAGGCCTGAAGAGATGACTCAGCAGTTAAAAGATCTGAGTTCAGGTCCCAGCACCCATATGGCAGCTCACAACCTCCTGCAACTCTAGCTCTGGGGAATCCATGGCCTCTTCTGGACCCCAGAGGCACCTGCACTCACTACCACCACCCGAGTTAAAAATAAAAAATGAATCTTTTTTAAAAAATGAAATGCAGGCTACAGACTAGGAAAGGTTAATTTTAATAATTTATATTTCTAATCATAACCATTCAAATATTACAGGTTATTAGTATCCAGAAAAATGAAAGAGCTCTGCAAATCAACAAAAATAAGCAAATAATGTCATAGCAATAATTGTCATAGGGTCAATATTTATCACAGGGAACCTAAGTAGCCAAAATACATAAGAAAATATTCAACCTCAGTAATTTAAAATTTCAGCAACTAAAAACCATACTGAGGTACTGTTTCACAGATATTGGTTCAGCAATCTTAAGATGGCTCCAAAACATGTAGTGGTAAGGAAGGGGAGGGAACAGACAGACAGACAGGCAGACAGACAGGTAGACAGACAGGCAGACAGACAGGCAGACACACACACACACACACACACACACACACACACACACGGGGGGGGGAGGAAAGAAGAAGAGAAGGGGTGAGGGAAATGGAGGAAGAGGAAAGAAAGAAAAAGTTTGTTTAGATTAATTTTTTATTTGTATATTTTGCCTGCCTGGTGCATGTGCATCATAGGCACACCTGGTTCAAAAGAGGTTGTCGAATCGTTTGGAACTGGATTTACAGATGGTTGTGAGCTACCATGTGGCTGAAAGGAATTGAACCTTGGTCCTCTAGAATAGCAATTATTCTTATTGGCTGAGCCACCTTTCCAGCCTGCCCGAAAGAACTTTTTATACACAGCTGGTTTGAAGGTATATTATAAAAAATGATGTTGGAGACTAAAGTCCCAGTATTAGATACAGTCAGGCACACAGTCCACAGTCCAGGAAACTCTACTGTGGGAATGTGTCATTTAAGAGTTCTCATGTGTGCTCACAAGAAGGCGTTAGCTAGAATGCGTGCCACAAGAAGGAAAGCAAACAACTGAAAGGCTCAGATGTCCTGTCGTCGATGAATGACATCAGAGCCACGTAGCAGAATACCTAACGCATGTGAACCAAATTTAAAAAAAAAAAACAGATGGGGAAGACTACTGGCAATTTCAATACCATCATCACCTTTGGGCAGAGTGAAGGGATGGCAGGGGCAGGTGGGGATTAGTTAAAATGTATCTGCAAAATCAAAACAAACAAAAAGCCCTTTATAAGGCCACTATGATAAGACATGAACCCAATTAAATTTTCTAGAGACAATGGCTGTGGTTCCTACCTCCAGACCAAGAAATGATTTCCAGACTTGCTATGGAAAAAGCCGAGCCGCAGAAGAGCATGAACATTGGACTACCTACCATGTGTAAACAGTTGTGGAGGGGCCTGACTGTAGTAGCAGCCATTGGTGAGGAAGGGGAGACGAGAGAGCCAAAGCCAGCAATGGAAAAATCCATATTATTTGTGTGTTATCGTTTGCTTGTAGTTTCTCCACAGGAAAAACTTTGTAAAATAGTAATAATACTAATAATAATATAATAAAATTGAATTGAATTGAAATGGTTCGTACTACTAAGTAAAGCCAAAATCACTGTTCTGAAGAATATTTTATTTAAACTGTAAGCATAGTCTTATGTCTGTCTTCCTCCCAAGTGACTGCTTTTTTGTCACAAGTATTCATTAATAGGTTCCAGTCAGAAGCTCGAAGCCCGCCTGCGGTGCGTGCCCTAACTGTGCGTCTATTTATACGGGATGACGAGTACTTTCCCCAGTAAATCTCACCACTTCTGCTAAGAAACTGAGTGCTGACTAAATGGCTTGGTGACACATGGAGTTAACCCTACGCTTCCCCCAACAGTAAGAGGAATTGACACACGGCTACAGACATGAACTGCTCCGGAGCATATCAGAAAGGAAGGGTATGGAACAAAGCCCATCTTTCTAAACTTTCCTCCCAGCAGCTTGAGCAAATGAGGGAGGGACCAGGACCTCAGGGGGGTCTTATTTCTGCGAGTCTATGATCCAGAAGAGAACCCTGAGTCTGCCAGATCTAGAGCTCAACTACTTCCCACAGCGAGCCTTCCTGTGTTTAACATTACATTTCAAAAGTATTATGTCTTTGTGAACCAGTTACCTGGAGTTAATGCTTGTCAACTCTAGGACCACACTGGGAACAAGCAATCTAGAACAACAGAACGTCCCTGCCTTCTTCTAGAACAGTTAAACTTCAAGGCCCCATATCCTCCTGGGAATAAGGGAAAAGTTTTGGTTTATACCAGTTTGCAGATGACGATAGTGAGGAAGCCGGGGAGAGGCTCATGGTGAGGCAGGGAGTGGGGGGGTGGAGGGACTGGGGGATAGGGGGTGGCAGGGTGAGGTCAGAGGAGAGGAGAGAGGAGCATCATGCTTGTCTCTTTTTCGTGTCTTTGATTTCACAACTTCTTCCTTTCCATGCCTGCTGGTGCGCTCGCTTGCCTTGTGTCGGAGCCAAAAGACAGGTCAACTCCACTGCTTTTTATCCAAGTTGGCAGAGGCTGTGGCAGCAGGGTGGTAACTCTGCCCGATGTTCCCAAGCTGTGGCTGGGATGCTTCCAACAGCAAAGTCACTCAGTAAACAGTCCTCTGTTTCTTCCTTGGGTTGGCGGAGATATCACTAGGCCCTTGTACTACCCACTCCTTACTATTCCAGAAGCCCACAGACAAGAAGCTTCCCAGGTCTCCGTGTCTTCAAAGAATCCTTGGGTAGGTATAAAACACCTCTGACAAAACCAACAACATGCCTTCATTTCCACTCTAAACCCCATACATGACTTCCTGGGGATCTCTACTTTGGGCATTATTTCCTGTACGTCACTGAGTTTAATATTTAAAAACTTTATTTAATGCCTGTGTTAAGCCTGGCTTTACTCCAGTGTAGGGTGGAGTCAGGGAGACAAATGAATACTGCTCTTAATAGTCTTTTATTTTTAAAAGCTTGCAAACTAACTGGAGACAGAAACACCGATGTGGAACGAGTGCAGACGGAGAACAATGTCTATAACCACCAGAAGCCTGGGGGTGAAGATGTGAGAGGTGACGTGGTGGCCTGAACCCGAGATGGATTTGCAAGAGGGACAGAGGATTAAGGAGGACTTATCTAGAGGGGAAAGATGATCAAAGTTTGGGAGGCTGACCTCAGTAGATAGCCAGGGACTATCAGAGACCAGTCTAACAAAGCAGCTTGGACCCCAGAAGACAGGAAAGCACACACGCAAAGCAAAGCCAGGAACCATCAAACAGCAATAAGCCATCAAAAAGCAGTGCTTATCTTGATATGTGTTGAGTCCCAGAGGCCAAAGGAGCCTCCTGAACTACGTTTTCTACATCATGTTTTCATTTTGCAGGTGAGAACTGAGGATTAGAGCAGGAGGCTGTTTCACCATCCCGAGCAGCAGATCTGAGTCAGAGTGGAAAGTCACCTCCAGCACTCTTGATTCCACTCTGGATTCGCACCCCGCTTCTGCACCACACTGCTGAACCCAGATGGCACAAGCCCTGCCAGGCCTGTGGCATGCTAAGAGTAAGGGCATACGTTCTCGGGCGGGAGCATTGAGAAGGGCAAGCCTTGCTCTGTGCACGGATCTTTACTTTTCTTGAACTTCACTGCATGTTGTAGCACATTTCAGTGCCTCTGATTGACACTCAGGACCCTCCACTGGCCCCACGCGGCCTTTATGACCTTCATTGCCAACACTCCCCAACCTATAGTCTCCAGCCAGATGCATCCACTCAGCTTTTGCTGAGCCTCTGCTAGTGGCTGGGGCACTACCCCTGTCATCTTCTTCTTCCAGGCTGCTTTCCCTATTATCACCTAGATGTAAAGCTCAGGGCTCAGGCTGCCTCAAGTCTCTTCTACATCATTAATTCTACACAACCTAATTCAATTCATTTCAATAAACTTTACAAAGGACCTATTGTGTGTCAGGCATCCTGCTTGGCATTTGAGGTTTCAGGGTAAGTAAAGCATGGATACAAGGAGTCTAGAAACAAGGGAGACACAAAAACAAGCCAATCCTAGGAATAGGTATAAGAAGTAAGTCTAGAACAGTGACTCTCAGTCGCTTTGGCCATCAAAGACCCTTTCACAGGGGTCACCTAAGACCATCAGTGTTGTGAATAGGCAGCATGAGAAGGACCTGTGCCAGGTCCCCAAGGGGAGGGGACAGGTTTTCTTTTGCCTAGATGGCAACAATCAGAAAACACAGATAAAAATTATATGACGATTCACAACAGTGGCAAAATTACAGTTATGAAGTAGCAACAAAAAATTTTATGGCTGGGATCACCACAAAATGAGGAACTGTACTAAAGGGTCACAGCATGAGAAAGGTTGAGAAGCACTGGTATAGCAGGGACCTCATGGATGGAGGGGCATCTGAGGTCAGGTAGTGGAGGAACAGGAACACCTGTGGGCTCAGTTTGTAGAAAGAAGGGAAAATGGCAGAGAAGACCAGATGGTAACTCAGAGCTCCCAGGGACTCAGGTTTAGTACCCAACATCTTACCCTGCTAGGACTGGGCTTAGTGCTAGGACTGACTGTGTCTTCAGTTCAATGTGCAGACAGAAGACCTGGAAGAGGAAAGGCATGAGAGATGGCAAGGAGCTTCTCCATAGGCTTTGGTGAACGGATGTAGGCAGCCTAGCTTGGTGCTTAGAGCTACGTGAAGGAAAGTTCTGAACACAGAGCTTGAAGCAACGGCCACATTAGCAGCTAGAAATGGAGAGGAAGTCACCGCTGGACACAAAGGGCGACATGATGGTCTGTTGCAACATTGTTTCAGGTGAGTGACTTTCTCCTCGGCTTTCCTGAATTCTCCAAGGGCAGGAGTTACCTTTCAAATGTCCTCTTTACAGTTCCAAGACACTCAAACAGCTCTGGATTCACAGGGAGCATTTGGTCAACTATCAAGAATCTTTTAGGGGCATGACAAAAATTTAGAAGGAAGAAAGAAAAAGAGAAAACTCTTCCTATTTTGTTCATGACGGGAACTTGTTTTTATTCCCTAAATCTGTGACTAAGAATGAAAATTCATAAGCTTTTACAAATCCACATTTGAGAGAAAGATGGTGTATGTAATTAGAAGCTTATGGTCGTCTAATAAGGGACAGAAGATCCCAGTTAAAGCCAACACCTCATCTCTGAGCAGCCTTTCTCGCTGTGTGGGCACCCCAACTGCTAAGTTTGTTTAATAGATCAAATTAAATGGTTGACTGCTCACAAAGGACATCTTGGGGGCTTGGGACTTAGCTTGGCTTCGGTGCTTGTTTCCCCAGGCTTGCTACTGACAGAAGGACTCAGCCCCATTGTCTTAAAAATCAAGCCACTTCTAGATTGAAAGCCTCATAAAAGACTGTGTGTACACATACTATTGGTTGTTTTCCTTGAGGAGAAACAAAAGGTATGAAGGCTTCATTTATTTTATTTTATGTTACTAATTCCTACTCCAATCCTCCCAAATATGAACAGGCTCTGAAAAATGCCTTGACCACACACACACACACACACACACACACACACACACACACACACACACACGTGCACATGTTTTAAATGCAAAGGGTAATTTATGGTTCCATAAAGACAAGAATCTTTATTGTGTGTTCTTATTACAACACCATTTTTGTGGGCTTGTAGTTTGGCTCAGGGGTAGAGTACTTTTCTGAGGTGTGCAAGGTTCTATAGACCCCAGTACTGAACATGCTATTTTATAATCAGAACTAGTGAGATACTGTAACATTCGGATGGTATCCTAAACAGTTAACAATGGCGCTGTTGTGTGCCTCACCTATTGAGAATAGGCTCCTGAATGATCTGGAGAGAGGCCAGTTGGTTCATTAAGCCTACATGTAAGAACTCTGTATCAGCCCTGGTGTAGTGTGCTGTTAGGTTCCCATTGTTCATTCACTTCCCTCTCAGCAACACCCACACATTTTCCTTTGGAGAATTCCCTCCTCCAGAGGACAGTGCCATCCCGGGCCTCTACTCTCCCAGTCCACAAGGCAGAGGCATGGACCCAGATTCAGCCAATAGATGTGGGGATACATGAAGGGATTTGGCCAATTAAAGTGTCCCGTCCTCCTCACCTCAGTAATTAATTGACTGAGGAATGGGTGTGACATTGGCTAAGCCAAGCACAGTCCTCCCAGGACCTTTCCTCATCAATTAGTGAGGGCGATTTCTGTCCTTTGGAGCCTGAGGCGTCTGGAGGCTGCCTCACCTTTGTAGAGGAGAAATGGTAACTGAAGGCAGAAGTCGAGAGGAAACAGTGACTCTACAAGAGGAAGAAGCAGGAAAGGGCGTGGCATCAGGGCTCAACCCTGTGTCTAACAATTCCTACACCCTGCTACAGTCCACTGGACTTTTTAGTTAACCAAATATTTTTTTCTTTTCCAGTTTTGCTTGCTTGAGATTCAATTAAACGATTTCTGTCTTTGTCATTCAAGTAAGAGCTGATCAATAGTTTATCTATATAAGGTGATTCTGTAGAGTTTCCATTACACAGTGCTTATAAAATCTTGGACTTAATTGAAAAGGCTGCTTGTTCTAAAACTCCAAACTAATACATCATACAACCAGAAACCATCATGGGTTCTTAATCAGAGGATAACCAAACACAGATGCCGGCAAAAGATGTATAGAAATAATCAAAACAACATATGCTCATTCAGAAGTGTGTGTGTGTGTGTGTGTGTTCTTAATTTTCAAAGATGCCAAATACCATTTCTTTCTGTTAGCATCACAGAAAAGAACTAAGTGACTGGACCTTAAAATAATTGGAATTATTTTAGTCTCTGTTTCTCTCTCTCTCTCTCTCTCTCTCTCTCTCTCTCTCTCTCTCTCTATTTGTGACACAGAACCATGGATTTATCTCATTCATTTAATCTATAAGCAAATTTTATGAAGAAGTATGGGCCAGGTGGTGGTGGCACATGCCTTTAATCTCAGGACTCAGGAGGCAGAGGCAGATGGATCTCTGTAAGTTTGAGACCAACCTGTTCGGGTTATTGTTAAAGGCACTAGGAATAAAACAATGAGTTAGATAAATGTTCTGACATGCAGAAGTTCACTTTCTGGTAGGAGATAGGAATGTGAACAGACAAATGGCAAAGACTCTTCCTTTTTCTCTGAGGCAGTTAGACCACAGCTTGGTCATAAGGGAGCCTGAGGGGTGCACATGTCCTCAGTGTTTCAGTCAGTAATTTCTGGGTATCTGGATTTTCTGGCATTTCAGGTACTAGTGTGCATGTGTACATGCATGTGTGTGTGTGTGTGTGTGTGTGTGTGTGTGTGTGTGTGTGTGTGTGTGCATGTTGTAATGAACAGTCTTACTGGAAAGATGTGCCGTGGTTGGTGAATAACCCTCTTCATAAGGTCAAATATGATAGAATTTGGTTGATTCAGATTTCAGATAGAAAAACCCTTCATTTCACATTTTTTAAAGTTTAATTATGAACAGAATGTCTGAGTCGGTGTTTGTTTCCTGAGCTCTGGGGCTTCATTAAAGAGATACCATAGCTAAGTCTCGGGAAGATTTCTCTATAAGGAAGCTGTGAAGACTATGCTGTTTTCCTCACTTTCTCCTTGGAATTTCACAATGTTTTAGCTCAAGACAGCAAGTGCTTCCTTATCTCAGTCCCTGGGTCCTTCTGTTTGGTTTTGGTGGATGAGCTGTGTAGCTAGCAAATGAGAGTAAAGTGAGTCCTTCCTCCTGCTTTTAAACTTTCCTTGTGGGTTTTCAGATTAAACAGAATCCAAAATGCACTATGCTTTTTTTTTTTTGCTCCACAAACCCCTTTTTCAAGGGGGAAAATAAAGCATTCGTTGGGTTAGTTGGCTTATGAGGGCTTTAGAGTTGAGTTCTAAGGTGAGAAAGCTCTTCAGAAAATTTTAACCCAGAATGTTTGCACAGGTTAAATTACTTGTCCAATTCCCAAAGTTGGGTAGAAGCCTGGTTAAGGTGAGGACCCAACATTACTATTAAATTCCTCCCAAGTTCTGTGACAGCTAGTGCACTCCTTTCAGGGGCCTTATAGCACAGTGACGCCTGCTGCATCAGCTGCATTATTATGGCCTCTTCCTCACAGAAACCTCAAGGCCACCAGGCCCAGGCCCACAGTTCAACTTCCTCACAGCTCATCTGTCAGAACAACTGTCAGGACTTCTCATGGGCAATCCTTCCGGTGTCCCATTTCCAGGTCCCTAAGACACATTTCTTTTTTCTTTTTCTTTTTTTCTCTTTTTTTTCTTTTGAGGCAGAGTTTCTCTGTATTGCTTTGGAGGTTATCCTGGAACTTGCTCTGTAGACCAGGCTGGCCTCGAACTCACAGAGAGACACCTGCCTCTGCCTTCCAAGTCCTGGGATTAAAGACGTGCAGCACCAATGCTCAGTTCCTAAGACACATTTCTTCTGAAGTCCTACAATGTTGTTTCCTCCTGTCTGTATGGGGGTCTTCTCTCCATTCCCCACCTTCTGTTTAATGTATAGGCATTTTCAGGGGCTTACACATTATGTATATACATACACACACATACACACACACACACACACACACACACACACATATGCATTGCAGTCTGTTCCAGAGATATTCTTTTATTTCCATCAGAGCCAAACATGAGCATTTCCATATTCAGCCCTGTTTGATGGTGCACATAATTGTCCTAAGAGGTAGAGGCAGGTGGATCTTTGAGTTTGAGGCCATCCTGATCTACATAATGACTTCCAGGTCAGCTATATAGTGAGAACTTGTTTCAAAAATAAATTAATAGACTAGAGAGATGACTCAACAGTTAAAGGCACAAGCTGTCCTTCCAGAGGACCTGGATTCAATTCCCAGAACCCACAAGACGATTCATAACCATCCGTTTAACTCCTGTTCCAAGCGAATTGACGCCCTCTTCTGGTCTCCAAGGACACTGCAGGCAAAAAGTCCATAGATACAAAATAGTAAGTAAAAATTCT